TTTATTTCTGAGAGGTTTCTTCTTTTCTTTTTCTCCTTTTCTTGCAACTCCAGCGTTTTAGGATCTGAAAAGCCGCGTCTCTTTCTTCCCAAGGCCATAACAGGAATGAGCCTGATGTTTATATTTGTCTGATCGAAACAAGTTCAGCGCAGGAGGGACTAAGCTTCTCTCGAGGCCGAGCCTATAAAGTGTCAGTGCAAAGCCGAGGATTAGAGTATGGTTGTTGTAGTTGGCTTTTGGCAGGGAAACTATAAAAATAGAGCATTTTGGAGATTATTGTAGCGCCGCAGGAATTGTTCGATAAATCGCGAGCCAGGCAGGAGGGTCCCGGACAGGTGCACCGTAGGTCCAGTCCAGTAAGTCCGGAGTCAGCTGGGAAAGAGGCCCGACCCCCACGGCAGCAGCGCTGGGCCCGGGGCCCCGGGGTGCGGCTCGGCGGCAGAGCCCGGCTGCGGGAGCGGGGCCGGGGATGCTCCGCCGTGCCCCGGCTGCCCCCGGCGCTGGCACCGCAAAGCCTCGCCCCTGCCCGCGGCCGGGCGCGCTGTGGCCGTGGGAAGCGAGGGGGGCAGAGGCAAGAAATCCTCCCTGCGGCCGGGAGAGAGGAAGGACGATGTATTCCTGTGCAGGGGAGGCAGCGGGTATTTCTCTAGGGAGAAAGCGAGGGCGAATGTTGTGCTGGGGGCCTTTCAACACCCGAGGGGATTGCAAAAGCACACGCACAGTACCCCCAAACCTGCCCAAGAACCAGTGCGGGAGAAGGTGAGGAGCTGGCCCCTGCGGCCGGCCCACCCACTCCCGCCGCGGCCGCGCTCCCGCCCGTGGCCCCGCAGCCGCTGTCCCCCAGGGGCCGAGCTCGGGATCTCGGCTGCTCTGGATAAAGGCTGCCCCGGGCACTGCGGCCATCGCTGGTGCACTCGCCCCCCGGTTATTCTTTATTATTATTATTATTATTTGAGAAACTAAAGCCCATCTCATTCACCCGCGCTCGCAGTGGTGGTCTGGGGAGAGTTGTCAACACCGATTTCGTGATAAAATGTGAATGATGATTTTATAAGGATTGAGCGGAGATATCCAAGGCACACGCTGACTGAGTCCTTCCAGTCCTCATTAATGTTAGTAATTAACTCTTTCACGCTCAATTAGCCCCAAATAAACCTGCTTTAATAGATTCTGCACACTTCATTAATACTTTGAATAAATCTGTGTTGAACAATGCATTTTATTCCTCAAGAGCACCACGCTCGAAAAATGCGGAGCGAAAGGGCAGTTTTATTCCCTTTCCACTTAGTTTCCCAAACACAGATAACTTACAAGCTCAATTTCTCGGCTTTAACTTTAGGAAGGGAAATTTTCTTCCCCTCAAAACAGACAAAATAAATAAACGACCTGGTGGCGAAATGCTGCACACCGATGCGTGCAGCCGAAAGGACAGGGCTATCAGACTTGAAAAAATTCAGGCAAAACTGTGGAACATTTTTTTTTACGGAAGAACCTGATTGCTGTAGTTTGTCGCAAGAATGCATCATTTTATGCCCGCCACTTTATCATGTTTGTAAAAATAAGCAACGTTCTCAGGGTAATTTACCTCCTCCATTCTTCCATGTGGAACTAATTAGCAAACCTCATTATTTATGAGTCAGGTATTTAATGTAACAAATATCCCTTTCAAAGGATACATCGGAAATTGATAATTCAATGTAGAAAGGAAAAATACCGACTAGCCATAAGATTACTTAAAAATTCATTTAATTTCTCCTCTTGCTGTGCCACCAGCAGAAAACCGGGTCTATAATTTTTTTTTTTTTTTTTCTGGCGTATAGAGTAGGTAGAATTTAATCTGGAAGGTTAAGATTGAAATGGTTTTAAAACAGTGGCAACTGGACAATAGCATTACCGTATCTTCACTCAGGGCAAAGGGTAAGAAAGCTGGAGACAGATGTAGACTTTCAAGTTTATGATCCTATTTTGCAGGGTAAATTTATCTTGGCATGAGTGGGTTTTGTTTCAGTCAGAACACAAGTGTTTTGTTCTTAATTACTCACCGAGCTACTTTGTGTTAAAAAAGAAAACCACGTACAGTTTTATTGCAATGGGGGAATTCAAGCAGAGAACTCGCGGGGTCTTCTTCTGTAAAAAAAGAAAAAAAAAAAAAGAAGACCCGATAACGATCTGTTTACATGAAGCAGAATTAAAGGTGGAGGTGACACCGAAATCAAAGAAACGTTGATCTCTCTGCGGGCAAGTGGGAGACCAGAGAGCTACTACACTGTGAAATACATTCGCTTTGATGTCCCGAAGTGAGGGGACTTCATGAAATAGCCTGCTCTTCATCCATATTTTTGACTATCCCGGTCGTACAGAGCAAAAGTGTAGCTTACATTTCTGGAAAAGTGCCAAAAAACTTGTAGTAACATGAACAGTCTGCTCCTACCTCCTCTTTTCTTCTTATTTTCTCCTCCTCTCTCTTTTTCTTTTTTTCCCTTGTTGTCTTTTGCTTTTTCATCATTTTTAGGATTTTTTTTTTTTAATTTAACAGAGCTTCTCTAGCAAGAACCAAAAAATTGCGGGTGTAAGGGATGCTATTATGACCTGACTGCATTTCTCCTTGGTTTGTGCCTTGTTCTTTATTGGGAAAATCTAAAGAGAATTTTTAAAATATTTTCAAGCGAGAATTTACCCATATTGACGTAGTAGATTTCTGCTTATATATTCCATATTAAGTGTTTTCTAAGAATACAAAGAAAGGAAGAGGGATAAAGATCATTTGCAGTAGCCTGTTTCATGTTTGAGATATCTAGAGCCACCTAGACAGGGAAACGGACATGGACCCATTGTGAAGGACAGAAAGAGACATTTTCAGGTACCCAGACGAGAGGACAAGAGTGTTTTCTGTGCACTTTGTTCTTGGGGTCACCAGCTGAGGCATTTGTGCTGTGATGTGGACATGCTTAGCGTATAGGCAGCACTAACTAAATAAAAGTATATCCCCAGTAGAGCAACAAAACAGCCTGGTTGGTTCAACAGCCCTAAATAGTTCAGAAAAAAAACCCAAAAAAAAACCAAAAAAAAAACCCCCAACAACCAAAAAAACCCCAAGCACAAAAACTCCCACCAAAACAAAACAAAACAAAAAACCCCAAACCCTAAAAAAAATAGAAATAGGGGAAAAAAGACCAAAGGGAGGAGAATAGAGAATATAACGTGTGCATTTTTCAATCAGTCACTATCAGAAATGTATCCAATTGAAAACCAAAAAATGTCACAGTTTCTTATTCTGGGTCATTGCAGTGGAATTCCTCTAAGGTTTGAGTCTCTCTTCCTGCTGCTGATTTATGTAAAGCAGAGTGAAAGGTGGGCCTGGAGTATAGAGCTGCTCAGAGTAAGCTTCTCCCTCTCACACCCTCCCAGCCGCAGCTCCTCTTTCTAGGCAACAGCACACATATAAATCAGATTTGTTTCCCTGGTCTTTAGACCTCTTCCACCAGCAGTTTCCACACCCCCAGACTTCCAGCTCAGAGGGACAATTACTGCTCTGCTGTACTTTGCTGCCTGTTTCTCCAAAGGGGCTTAACTCTTCACATGGGGATGAACTCTAATCTGAATACCGTGAGGACCCTGCTGGAGTCCCCTGTGGGGATCTTGTAGGGGAACCTGCCGAGATTTAGCAGGAACCCAGTCAGGATCTTACAAAGATCCTGTTGTGTGGATCCTGTGGGAACACTGCAGCAAACATGTGGGGATTCTGGCAGCAAATAGCCCCGCTGAAGGCAAATCCCAGAGCTCACTGAGGGGAAAGTGAGTATAAGTTGAGAACTGTGGAGTAAGGAGGAGGCTCTCTGGGCTGAAGGGATATGATTCTTCCAAAAGCCATGGGTGCTCTCACAGCCACAAAGGGAGGAAGCTGTGTCCCCACCAACAACCCTCGGGAGGCATTCACTGCCAAATGGTTGACAGCAGCCCGGGCTGAATTTTCAGACTGGGCCAGATGTGCCTGAATGCTGCTGCCTTGTAGCATTTTCCCCTCCGTCTTGTGGGGTGGGACGTGTGGGGATCTGGCCCAGGAGAGAGGCTAGGGGCTTGGCAGGACCCTGAAACCCAGACCAAAGGGGTGGCACCCAGCCCAGGGAAGGGCTGAGGCTCTGCAGCTGCTGGTCTTGGGTGCCCCATGGGAAGGGTCTTGCCAGTCCTTGTCTTTTAGCCTTTTGAAGAGCTCTAATTAAGCAATTGCTTAGATTAGGAAGTGGGCTTGAAGCCAGGCACTTCTCCCTGGGAAGAGCAAATGGCATTTCAGGTTTGTCACCCAAATTCAGCATTTTCCTGTTTCTTTTTGCAGTACACAAGAGGGAGGACTTTGTCAGGTATTTTCCCCATAATGTTTTTTCACCAAAATTATCTTATTTTTCTGAAAGAGGGAGAGCATGCAGTTCTGAACATCCAAGTGCCTCCATCACCTCAGAGGCTTGGCTGAGGCCAGACCACAGGGAGCTGAGTGACCCAGGGGCAGGAAGCTCCTCACCCATCCCTGCGTCACCTCAAGAGACAGGGCTAAATGCAGCTTCTCTGGACAGATGTAGTGGGCAGTATCTCACTATTTTCTAAAGGCTGAGGTCACCTAGGAAGGGATTTTAAATTACTTGGACATGACTGAGCTTTTTGGGCCAAAAATGGCATCTCGGCTGTCCCCGTGTACAAGATCATTGGAAATCTGCACAGCAGGGGATGCTGCTGAGAAGTGAATGATTGTGGATGCAGTACAACATTTGTGTGCAAGAGAGAGATGGGGAGAGGGAGACTCTGGAGATGCACTCACAGCAAAGACCTGGTGAAGCCTCTAATTCCAAGGCAACCTCTTCCTGTGGCTTTGGAGAGGGATATTGATTAGGGGTGAGGTAAGGTGCTTTGATTTTAATATAAATCTACTTCTTCCTCTTCCCCTCCCATCTTTATTTTCCAGATATTTTCCTCCCCTGTTCCGAAGATCCTCCTCCTGAGCGGCCACCATGGGAAGTAAAACCCTGCCGGCCCCAGTGCCCATCCATCCTTCCCTGCAGCTCACCAATTACTCCTTCCTGCAAGCATTCAACGGGCTGCCCGCCGTGCCCTCCGACCACCTCTCCAACCTCTATGGCTTCAGTGCCCTGCACGCCGTGCACCTGCACCAGTGGACTCTGGGCTACCCGGCCATGCATCTGCCCCGCTCCTCCTTCTCCAAAGTGCCCGGCGTCTCCAGCCTGGTGGATGCACGGTTCCAGCTGCCCACCTTCCCACTCTTCCCACATGTCATCCAGCCCAAGCAAGAGGCTGCCAACATGACCCTCAAAGCCAAACCCCGCTTTGACTTTGCCAACTTAGCAGTGGCTGCCACGCAAGAGGACCACTCTAAACTGGGACAGGCAGACAGTCAGGGCTCACCAGCAGGGCTGGGGTCTTTGCTTGAGGTGACTAAACTCTCTCCAGAAAAGAAACCCACGCGGGGAAGGTTACCGTCCAAAACCAAGAAGGAGTTTGTGTGTAAATTCTGTGGCAGGCACTTCACCAAGTCCTACAACCTTTTGATCCATGAAAGAACCCACACCGACGAACGGCCCTACACATGTGATATTTGTCACAAGGCTTTCAGAAGACAGGATCACCTGAGGGATCACAGGTAACTATTTTTCTTTTCCTGTTCTTTTTCCCTTGTGTATTTGTACTCTCCCAGTTACCAATCCACACTCAAGATTTTTATAAGAGAGGTTAAGTACCCATCCAACCAAAAGTCTTCCCTCTAGTTTTTCCTCTGCCCACTGTTGGTGGAAGAGTCCAGATAACTCACAGTGGAAGACATACCTCACTCACTCCATAAAGACAACTTTTACAACCTCCTTTTTACTTCTACATATGTTTTCAGCCTCCATTTGCATCATGTGTCCTCTGCCTCTAGGATCACCCAGAAGTGTCATGAAGACACACAGTCTGGTGACCCCAAAGTAAAAGAGAAGTTCTTTATCCCTAAGAAGGGCACCCTATAACCCTCTGATGCCCCCCTCTCTTGCACACATACATACCAACACTTGCCCAAGAACCACGCTCCAGCACTCTCAATCTCAGCAGTAGGTATAAGAAATGTCCAGCCCATTCTCCCTCAGGTGGCTTGCTGCTGAGTTTAGGCCAGTTATTTCTGATATGTCAATTGTTTTTCTCTCTCTAGATATATCCATTCTAAAGAAAAGCCTTTTAAGTGCCAAGAATGCGGGAAAGGATTTTGCCAGTCCAGAACACTAGCGGTCCACAAGACACTGCACACGCAAGTAAAGGAACTGAAACCTGCCAAACTTAAGTGTTGAATCTCCATCTTCTATGAACTTTTCCTCCCCTTCATACTTTACACCAAAACTAGAGCAGAAACAAAACTTTCAGGATGGGAGCACTGGACTTTGTGCTTTGTTTTTGTTTCTACTTTAAAAAGGGCAAAATCTGCACCCCTTCAATTTCCCTGTCCAAGCAGTTAACTTCCTAAGTCGTGGGTGAAAAGATTATTTTGAATTGAAAATATACGTGAATGATACAGAGAGTGCTAGCTGACTTGTGTGGCTTTGATAAACTTTATGCCAAAAGGTGGTGCTCACGTGTTGGACAGGAATCTCTTTAAAACCAAACAAAAACCCACAAGACACCCCAAACCAACCCTGCCCCCACCCAAAAAAACCCCAAAAAACCAACCAAAATCGTATCTTCCAAAAGTATTACTTAAGAAAATCCAAACTCTTATTTTATACTTTTTTTTGACTGTATAAAGCTTCTTATTTTTACACTTCAGGAAATACAAAGAATTCCAGAAGACAATTAAGAACTGAAACGGTGGTTTCTCATCACAGCACCATTAAGACAAGGAGAGGGGCAACTTGCAAATCTCATTTGCTAGTTTGTTTTCAGAAAAGAAGAAAATTAATGTTTGGAAATGACCTAAGTCTCTCAAGTGGGGAGTTCTATCATGTGTTAGAAAATGCATCCAGATCTCAGACCCACGCGTTCCTGGTGTTGGGACAAATCAGTGTTCATGGGACATGGAGAACTTTTTTATTACCTTGTGGTCTAGTGTGCTGTGAGGAAGTTTGTAACTTCTGGACTTATTTAAAAAACCCAGAGGAAAGAAAGATGGCAATACGTCAAACTGACGGTATGCACAACGTGGTTTTAGTGGTACTTAAAGTCTTCGTGTGTCCTGGTGTGAGAGAACAAATCTCAACTTGAGAGCGTATTTTTTTAAATGCTGGCTTTCTGAACAGTGTATTCAAATTAAGAGACATTCCAATAAGTTCTGTTTATTAAAAAAAAAAAAAAAAGTTGTATGGCTGTTTGGCACTTTATGCTGATTATTGGTAATTGACATTTATCACTGGATTGTGTGTGGTTTTTAAGTATTAAAATAAATTGTTATTTTACAGGCAAGTCTGCATGGAATACATATGTGTTCATTTTGTTTCTGATCTCTGATCTCTTCCCTGGTAAACCCTCTTTGTCAATATTCAGAACGTATTTTTTTTTTTTTCTTAGTTAAGTTGTTATTTTCTCAGTGGTTGTTTCTACCGTTCTACCGAGAAAGTCTGGATCTTTTTTCTATGCATTAGCTTTCCCCCTTCTAATTTTCCTTTTCTTCCCTTTATCTTTTTTTTTTTTTTTTGTTGTGTTTGTTTTTTGGTGGTGGTTTTTTTTTTTTTTTAGTCCTGACAAAAGTAAACATCTGCGGAGAGTCCAATAATTTTGCCGCTAGTGAGGAAAAAAAATCGTCCTGGGTAACTAAATCGTGGGTATTAGCTGATAAGATTAGGTGTCAGAAGTGTTATAAAACAAATCAGATGAGTAATGGGTGAACTGTTGCTGCTCTCGGTGCCTGGAGGCGCTGCGGGGAGAGACGCCTTCGCACCCCCATTCCCGCGTTTGTCAAGAGAGGCCATTTTTCAGTCACATCTTCGCCCGGTTCCGCGCAGATTTGGGCGGCCTTTGATTCCCGGCAGCTGTCTTAGATCAGAGATGTTTATTCCACTGCGAAGCGTCTTTGGATCGAGACGGGGGAGAGAGCGCAGCGCTGGGGCATCCGCCTGAGCCTTTGAAGCGCCTCTTGCCGCCGTCCTTTCTCGTCCTCTCGGCAAACCCTAAACCTTCCTCCTCCCGTCACAAGTCAGTGCCCCCGCGATAAGAGAAGCCTCTTTTTTTTTTTTTGCAAATTAGTGACGCGGCAGAGGTGACCTCGGAGCTGCCCAGCGGCTCCTGCGCGGCCGCGGCGCGGATGCTCGGCCGGAGCGCGGATGCTCACCGAGCCAGCCGCTGGGTCCGGTGCGGCTCCTTTCGTCTTCACCTGCCGCTTTTAGTAATTATTTCTTTATTTGGTCAAAGTATCCTATCAAGGACAGGGGAAAATGTGCGTTTCTAACTCATTTAGTGTAAGGGGAGGGGGAAGAAACCTCTCTCCCCCTCTTATTTATTGGACAACCATTCCAGCGCACCGTAACTAATGAAAAGGCACTTGCAAGGACGCGCTGCGGACCCACCTCCAACGTGGGAAGGCCCTCGGGGAGCTCGGGATGCGAAGTGCCGCCTGTGCCTGCACCCAGCTCCGGGGGCTGGGAGCACGGGCAGAGTTTGAAGTAGGCTTGCTTCGGCTTTGCTTCCCACCCGCACTGGCTTCTCACGCGGCGAGAAGGTTTTTGGTTTTGGTATCTGAAGAGCAGCAAGTGAGGGGTGCGGGGTGAAGTCTGCAGTAACCTGCAGGCAGCCGGGGCCGGCCCTGCGCGGGAGGAGGGCGGGACGAGCGCGGAGCCCTGCGCGCCGCTCCGCTCCGCTCCGCCGGCATCTCCTGCGCGGAGCCCGGCCGGAGCGAGGAGCATCCGCCGCGGCGCTGGCTCGGGATGTTTGCTCGGCAGCTCTTCTCGGAGGCAATTTGAAGGTGTCGTCTCCCGCGCCTCTCCGCGGTCCTCCGTGGGGGTTTAGAGGGATTGCCTTGCACAAGCCCCGCAGGAGCGGCCGCCTTTTCGCGGCGTGGGTCGCTGCCCCGGAGCGCTCCGTGGGACACGCCAGCCGCCCCCGGCGTGCCCGGCTGCCCCGCCAGGGGCATCGCATCCCGCGCCGCGCCGAGGCCGGACCAGCAGCCCCGAGCATTGACACGGCGTTAAGGGCAGCCTGAAGGCTGGGTGGTTCATCCTCCTCCGTGCCCTTCTAAACGGAGAATCAGAGAGAAAATCCCCGATGGACTTCCCCGTCCCTGTTCTGTCGCTCCTGGTACCAAGTAAGGGAACAAGGATGCACCCGGGATCCTGTCGCCGAGCGAGAAAGTAAAGGGCACTGTCGCTCGGAACCAGGTTTTCAGGGGTCGTAACTACGAGGCAGAAACCCGAGTCGGGTCCACAGGGAGGGAGGAAGGGACTCAGGTCACTCCGCTGAGGCTTTCCCACGGTCGCTCCACCGTCTCCTTAACACCGGGAAAACGAAACACCCGTGGCGAGGTAAGAAACGGTGTCAGTAACCGGTTCCTGGGAACCATTAGAGCTGCGGGGTCGCAAAGGTGGAGAAACCACTCCTCCCAGCTGGGCATGAGAAGCGTTTCATTTGAAAAGCTGAAACTTGGTGATCTGACTGCCAAGAATTTCTTGGGATCTGCATTTTTATGTGCAATTAAAAAGAAAAAGAAAACCTCCAGAGCTGACGTAATTGGAAATACAGATGTATTAAAACTACGTGGGCATGCTGAGCACAGGATGCACACACAGCCTCTCAATGCCACTTGTACTACACCTAAATGTGTGTGTATTTCCTCCGCCCAGAAAGCCACTTTTGCCCTGGTGCTAACAAAGGCTATCTATCTGGTCATGCTCCCAGCTGCATGGGGGAACAGTTCGCCTTTTCCCTCCAGCATTTTGAAATTTGCTAGGCAGTATCAGTTCAGCAATTCCAAGGAAAGCAAAGTAAAGATGAAATCATGAGTCAGAAGATATAAGTTGTACTAAACCCCAAAATAAATGAAAGGAATTAGAGGGGAAATGTGCCTTTTGAATCAGGATCACAATTTAAATGATTAATTGCCTTCCCTCTCTTTCTTTTTCTTTTCTATCTTTGCATGTGTTTTAATTTGACATTCATGCAGTGAATAAAACTTACTTAGGCCTCTGTCTGCCAATGGAGAGCTGATTCTGTTTTCACAGTTGCTTTAAATTTTGCATTTTCATCATAAAAACATCACTGAATGGGAGTTTGCAAGAGTAAAAAACTGGGCACCTGACTCTAGTTGCCCCTTCCTGCAAGATCTATAAGGAAAACACAGATTTTTAGATTTTAATTTTTTTTTAACCATTTCCAGTTACAGAAGGAAAACATAAAGATGTGTTGGCACATCTCTTGCTCTCTTTCCCCCTCTTTGCATTCCAGTCATTCTTTTTCTGCCCATAAACTGTTAGTACTCCGCAAGAGCCTGATTCTGCACACCCTACTAAGCCTGTTTTCTTGTTAGATGCAGGAAGAAATCCTGTCAGATGGGGTCTTCAGTGTACATCCATGAAACGGAGCAAAAGCTTCTCTCAGAATGTGCGCTGGAACAGCAAATAGTTACTTTTCAGCTGTGGATTGCATGTGCCTCTGAAAAAGGGACCACAAATCATTGGGTTTTTAAAGGTTCTGCATGAGTTGTATATTAATCCCAGTTTCCCTAGGGATGGATTAATCCCAGCTTCCCAGTTGTGTGGCTAGAGACAATGTGGATGGGGTTGGGGGCAGGGGGGAAGCGAGATGGGGAAAGGAGAGGGAAAATAAAAGATATATCACAGGAATACATGGCCTAAGTGGCGAGGAGCCATAAGTAGTTTCAATACCTTCTCTACCTCTGTCACCACATGTAAGCTGAAGTAACTTAGGCTCCCTCTTTCGGTTTCTTCATCTGTAAATTGGGGGTAATGCTGCTGATTTTGGTCCCAGGAGACTTGGCACACTCATGTAGAAATTCCTGCTCAACCCTCAGCAGTGAAAGGAGAAACTCCAATTTGTCTGAGGGCAACTGAAAGCAGGGGCTGATCTGGGTGATCTAATGGGCTGTGGATGACAAATTTATATTCACGTGTAATTCTTTTCCAGCCCTGGCAGTTTTGTTGAGAGATGGAGTCCTAGAGCCCAGTATGCTTTTCTTCTCTACATTCCTATCCAGTGACTACACAGGAGGAGTGGCATGGGCCAAATTCATCCCTGGTGGGACTCCAATGACATCAGTCATCTTTATAGGAGTTTTTTGAATGAAGTCAATTGGGTTTTACAAGGACCAAGTTTGGCCATATGCATATTTAACTGCTCAGAGAGCTGCAGCAGTGAATGAAGCTTCCCTTCCCTCAGGAAGAATCACTTCTCAGTCTGGGAG